TAAAAAAAAAAAACCCCAAAAATCCCATTCCCTTATTCACTTTGAGAGAGGATTGAAACATGAGCGAAGTCGTCCAGCGAAAATTGACCCAATAGCACTGAATTTCGTGGATACTTTCCAATATGGACGGCGATGAAGTCGATGGCGAGTATTGTAGCAAGGGTGAAATAATTTTCTTTCCTTTTTATGTGAAATTTTTTATATTTTTCAGCCTATATGCATATTGACGGCAATCAAGACACATTTATACATTTTTCTTCATTTCCTTCCTCTTTTACAGATAAGGAGACCCATAGTAACCAAGAAACTGAACAGTTGTTGGACAACATGGTGGACGGTGATGCGAAAAGTGGTAACTTAGTGCTTTTTCAATTGCAATGCAATATTTCGAATCGAAATGAAATTTCAGTTAAGCTTATTAGTCATGGAAAAAATAAATTTGAGTTATTTAATTACTTACATACAGGAATGGAGGTTTACTCATCTGAGGTTGTGGGTGATGATTGTTTGGTTGATGATATGTTAGGAGTAGAAAATGAGATTCCAGTTCCTAAGGTTGGTATGAAATTTGACAGCGAGAAGGAGTTATTTGAATTCTATAAGAACTATGCTTATGAAATAGGGTTTCCCGTTAGAAAAAGAAACTCTAAGAAGGGTGATGACGGGGTTGCACGATATGTGAGTTTTACTTGTAGTCGAGAAGGTTGACGAAAGAGTAATGCAAATACTTCTTTGAAACCTCCACCAACTATTGAAATTTGAAACAGGATGCAAAGCCAGGTTAGCAGCATGTTCTCATGCTCGTAGAATATGGCCAATAAACATTGTACATTTGGAGCATAACCATAGGACTAGCCAATCTAAATCTAGGTTGTATCGATACAATCGGCAACTTAGTGCACATGTTAAAAGGCGGCTTGAGGTCAATGATATAGCCGAAATCCTAGTGCATAAAAGCTATAACTCAACTATAGTGGAGGCGGGTGGATTTGAGAACATGACTTGTGTTGAGAAAGACGGTAGAAACTTCATCAATAAAGTGCGGTGTTTAAGACTTGGTGTAGGGGATGCTACTGCATTACATGCTTATTTCTCTAAAATGCAAACATGCAATCTAGGTTTTTATTTCAGTATGGACTTGGATGAGAAGTCTCGGTTGAGGAATGTGTTTTGGGCGGACAACAGATGTGTAAACAAACATATAAGGAATTCGGTGATATAGTTACTTTTGATACCGCTTACCTAACTAACAAGTACAATATGCCTTTTGCGCCTTTCGTTGGGGTGAATTACCACGGGCAATCAACTCTATTTGGTTGTGGATTGGTTTCGAACGAAGATACAAATACATTTGTTTGGTTATTCAGGACATGGCTTGAATGAATGCATGGTTAAGTTCCCAATGGAATAATTACAGATCAAGATCGTGCTATGCAAAATGCAATTCAAATTGTTTTCCCCAACACTACGCATAGGTGGTGCTTATGGCATTTTCTAAAGAAGTTGCCATAAAAGTTTGGCTGTCATAGTCAAAAAGCTGCAATACTTTATGCCATAAATGGTTTAGTGTATGATACATTACTTTGTAAAGAATTTGAGGAAGGCTGGGCGAACATGCTTGAACATTTTCAGTTGCAAGATAATGTTCGGTTGAACAGACTTTATGACGAGCAAAGTCATTGGGTACCATGCTATTTGAAAACTACGTTCTGGGCAAGTATGTCAACCACCCAGCGGAGTGAGAGTATGAATGCATTCTTCGATGGCTATTTTAACTCGAAGACATCTTTAAAGCTATTTGTAGAGCAATACGAACGGGCTTTGAGAAGTAAAGTTGAGAAGGAATTCCAAGCTGATTTTAGATCATTCTCGCAAATAGTTCCCTATACTACTAAGTACGAGATGGAGAAGCAGTTTCAAGAAGTATACACAATCTCGAAATTCAGGGAGTTTCAACAAGAATTCACATGAAAGGTTTACTGCAAAGTACTATCTGCGGAGGAGTTTTGTGGGACAATGAAGTACAAGGTCCGTGAAGATATCATTCTTAATGAAGGAAACAAGAAAAGGATATTTACAATTTCTTTTCATAAAGACAGTTACGAGATTGTGTGTAACTGTCATTTGTTTGAGTTTCGAGGTATCATTTACAGACACATTATCTCTGTTTTGATTCGGAACGATGTGTCATTCATTCCGGATAAGTATATTTTAAGGAGATGGAGGAGAGACGTGAGCAGACCGTACATGCGGGTCACAATAACATACGATGGTTTGATGAGTACTCCTCAACAGTTGAGATATGAGCAAATTGTGTGCTGCTCTAACCAAGATGGCAAACTTGATTGCAGATGATGAAAAAAGTTCAAAGCAGTTAATGTGGTGGATTAAATTACAAATGAATCAATTGTTAAAATCAAAAGGTAATCACTTTGGCTTGCATGGATTTGGAGGAGGCATTGTAGAAAGCTTCAAGATTTTTGATCCAAAGTGTACAAAAAATATAGGGTTCCAAAAAAACTACGTAAAAAAGTCCGCTGGAGATGATAAAGGAAAAAAAATATGGTTTGTTATTCAGATCATAGTTGGCATATCACAACTTTCATTATTCTTATGTTACAATTTTAATGTTAGTACATTGCAACACTTGTAGGTGTCTCCAAGCTCGACATCTTCGAATAAGCGTAGCATGTCCAAAGACAATGTCGCAAACAGTTTACCTGTAGAGGACGCTCTCAACTACCTTAACCAATTGGGACGCAAGATAGCCCATCTACGGTTGACTAAAAGCATTTGCCGATCTACTCACTCGTACGTATAGAATTTCAGCATTGTTAGTCGTCTCTAACTCTTATATCTGACGGAAAGAAAATTATTTCACCCTTGCTGCAATACCGCTGTCGACTTCATTGCCGTCCATATTGGAAAGTATCCACGAAAATCAGTGCTATTGGGTCGATTTTCGCTGGACGACTTCGTTCATGTTTCAATCCTCTCTCAAAGTGAATAAGGGAATGTGATTTTTTGGTTTTTTTAAGTGAACGAGGTTTTTAATCAATCCTCTTACCTCTTTTGCTTCGAATCCTTCGTGCAGTCGGAGATTTGGGTTGCCTTGATTTTTCGCAAGGTCGTGGATGAGAAAGGGCGGATCAGATTATGGTTTATGGGTAAATGAAGGGTTCCAATCATGAGTTATATGTGCTTTATGGGTGAATGAAGTGGATAAGTTAGGGGTTGTTTCATAAATTTTAAAACTTTTTAAATGGAACGCGAGATTTTGAATTAAAAAAAATGTTATCTCATCATTATGGACACCCTTAAGTAATATGTGATGTACCAGTAGCATTTTTTAATTATTAATTGGTTTATTTTATATAAGGATTTTTATTTTTGAAAAAATAAAAAAGGAATAAAGATAGTTATGGGACAGTGTGTAAAGTATTGAAAGGTGTCAACTTGTTGTACTTTAATATTATTTAATTACTTAAATTTGGTGATTATATTGATAGCACCCACATGATTGTTGAATAGGAAGGAAATCAATTTTGAAGCTTTGATTTGGAAATTGGTAGGATAGCTTGCCATGTGTCCTTTGGATATGGAATGTAATTATTTCGATTGTATGGATTATCGGGATTGAGACATTTTTGGGAGGGGAAAAACACGGTATTTCATAGATTATTAGACTTTTTTCCTTTTCAACTTTAAATATCGTACAAAGTAAATATTATCTACCAAAAAAAAGAGAAAAACATAGATTCATTTTAAAGTGGTAGCAAGCATAAATTGAGAATTGGGAACGTCACTTGAAATTCTTGTTTTTCTTCCAACAATCCTTTTATTATATCAATGTAGGATTACAAGGTGCAAGTGATATTATTCCATTTAAATTATTTATTTTCATGTTAATAAATATTATGCTAATGAAAGTTATGATATGATATGATATGATATAAAATGGTCATCCAATACCCAAGATATGATATGTTATGAACTCTTACCGGTTTCTATGATATGACGGTATGATATTTTTGAAGCATGAATTTAATATTTTAATTGGGATTTCACCGTATTTTCATATCCTACTGAGTATTCCCATGTACTCACTATTTTTTTCCTACACCTCAGAGGCTAGTACGGGGTCGTGTCGGAGCGTGGCGGTTCGGTTGAGTGGTTGTGCCGTGTTTCGTTGGACAAAAATCTAAAAGTTTGACACGCAACTTTATTTCTTTTAATTTAATTGAAATGAACATTTATGTTTAATTTAATGCCCGGACTGATGTTAGTATATTTGTCTACTTTCTAATAAATAAATTAGTATCCCCTTATTCTTAAATGTTAAGTACACTTTGAAGTTTTGCATTTAGATTTTATAATATTTGATGTGGAATCAAATTATTTTTATTTTATAAGTTTGCCTTGTTCTCTCATTATTTCATATTGTCTTTACTGTCATTTTCTTTTCAAAGTACACGGTAATAAATGTCCCATGGCCACGAAATGCGAAGTGTTTGGATACCTTAATTTAATACATGTTTTCATTTTTAAAAATTAATTTTCTAGTTGGCTGAAATAAATAAAAGGAAGTTTTGGTAACAACTCGTATTTATTTTTATTGTTAAAATTTGGGTCATTACATATACTACAGTCGTGAGGGCATTTTTTCTTGAGTTTCACGGCATATAATATCTAGAAGTGTCTGCCGTCGCTCATATCGGGTCACACCTTGACACCCATCTCAAGCATTACTCAATGGAGTTGATATGTATCTAAAATGTAAAAAACTTTATCTAGACTTAACTTTTGATTAAATAAACATTGTACATCCTAAATGTTTTTACATTTTTAATGTAATTATATAAAACTACTGTACATACAGTTTAGGGTACTGTACAAATTGTGTCTAAGTTCTTCTAACAACTACATCATCAACAATTATTCTAACATGTATAGAACCTACAATTTGAATATTCGAAAATGGTAATGTTCTCCAATCCATGTCATTCATTTTGCCCACTTTGTTTCGGACGTGGGTCTCTTGCTGGAACCAACTGTGACAAATTATCAATGCAGTCTGAAGCAGGATTTGTAACAGCGACATTCAGCCAGTTGAAGAAAAGCTCCATTAGGATCAATAAGAAAATCAGTAAATTTATGTTTCACAAAGAGATACCTGTGCATAGCAGATCAAGAGCCTCCTGCAATGAAGTAATTGCTGCCACCCGAGCTCCCCATGGCACAAGGTATATCACGAACAAGAAACTTTACACTGCGAGTGCCAACGAAGTCCAATATTTCGAGGCACTCTTGCAAATCAGAATCGCTTACCAACAACACCCATTCCTCTTCATCGTCAAGATACTTGATCTGGAACTGCTCTGTATTTAGTTTGAACCTCTTTGCTATTTCTACATACAGTTGAAAACATCCAGCAGAAGGCTCGAACTTGAACCGAATTGTGTCTTCTTTATAAGTAGCTTTGACTGTAATTTTTGACCCACTTTCTCCGCAGCTTGCCTCAGTCTGAGAATTCTTCTTTTCACCACAACTTCTCGAGCTTGATGAACTGCCTTTCCTTGTTGAGCCCGGCCCACTGGATGATTCTGTCATTCCTGAGGAGGTGGGCTGGTTATGTTCAAAAACTGCATCACCATCCACTCCAATATCACCTTTAAACGTAGTGTATATGTCATTGCCAGCAGCAACGGAGATTGAGCTTCGAGAAGAGAAGGGATACTCGGAAGCCTCTTGTTTCATGCTATTGTTTAGCTCCCACTGATTGCATCCTTCTGATGGAAACTTCCGAGAAGATGCCCAAGGCATGGTGTTAAGACTAGCAGGCTGGGACGGCCCGGTATCTAGTGCAGCCAATTTGGATTCATCAGAGGTTTCAGGCATAAGTGCATCTATTTTACACACTCCAGTGAAAGAGTTTGGACTCGGCACATTTGACCTTGCCACTTTATTTCTGTACACAAAACACCCTTCTTCCATTTTCACAATGCCACCGTCAACATCAGTGCAAGATGGAGTATCCGGGATGGCACCCTGGATAAATGAATCGGGATTTCCGACGGATTGACTTCTACTGGGGAAGATAACACTCTTTTGCTGATCAAAATCTTGTTTAGAGCTTGCAGCCACAATCTCCCCAGTGTATGGATCATACTTCAATCCACCTTCCACTCCCTGAACAGAGTCAAGGACGCTCTGTATTTTCCTCAAAGAACGATTCACTTTGTTAATCTTGCGGGATGGCCATCTTGAGATGCCATGTTGCCTACATATCCTTTTGAGCGTAGTTGGACATACTACAGAAACAAGAAACACAATTAAAACTTAGGCTGTCCCTTCAGAGTATTTCAAACAGCCCTTTCATACTGTATAGTCGAAAAATCATATAAAACTTGACACAAGCTTTTCCCATTTTAACCCATGAATCTTTCACAGTGTGTTCCAAGTAAAAAGTACTAGTTCACTATCATTTGGACTTTGATTTTTTTTTTTTTTCTCTCCTATTTTCAGACTCGGCAGTTCATCAAATGATTCAAATTCTTTTTTCTAGAATGAATTAACATTTCATTGCACAACATTCTAGCTATACAATAATTAAGACAGCAGCACAAAAGAAGGCGAACAATCACCAGATGTACTTCATTTATAGCATTTCAAATTCTGTCAGTGAATATTACATGATCTGGCATATTCTCTTTCATAAGAATAATCAGGGTAGTTACCAAAGGATAGTCCTTGAGAAGCTTACTTGGTCATGCTTAAAAGTTACTTTTTTAAAAAAGGAGATAAAGTAGGAGCAACAGTTATTGCGTTGGAGTTGGAACCACAATTTATTTAGTTTAAGCCACAAAATACAGAAATGTCTGGTTCTTATAAGCACTAATAAGCACACCCAAACATGTGCTTAATTTCTCATAGGACACACCAAACACAGTGTGTGATCTATGTTACTAAAAATCTACAGTAGTGAATGCAACTCTCGTGATAATGGGTGCTATTTATGGAGAAGGAATTGCAGAAGATACAGTCCCGGCTGATTAAACAGCATAAGTGGTGATTGAGAAAGTCGACATTTTGTGAAACAAGTTAACACTAAGACTTACCACCAATGCTTTGCGCTGCATCCTTCAAGCTACCAGAAAAGTACCGCTGAAGAACACTTAAACTGACATGCTTCTCAGCTGTGCTTCGCTGCTTCTCCATCCGTCTCCTTGATCTAGCAATTGACTGCAGTAATTTTAACAAGCTTAAGAGCTCTCATTCTCCTATTTATTGAAGACACTATACCAGATGATCCAATAGATATGTTATAGAGAAAAATGAATAAAAGAAAACATCATACGAAAAATAAACAATATTTTTTCCATTAAAGAAGTTTGCCATCCTGAGTTCCTTGACCACAAGAGCATGTATGCCTTTTCACTCCTGTCTTCCATGTAGCATTTAGCCTAAAGTGCCAGTGACATCACATTTCAAGCAGTCATAACTTGTCTTATTGTATACCGTTTTATTTTTCTCATTCACAGAGAATGTTGCTTTCTTCAACAAATGACATCATCAAAAAAGCACGAAGGGTACAAGTTCATTAATTTCTTGACTTCGTTCCAGGATTTATAAAGAAAGGTTTGTTGCATAGGTTCTAGACTTAGTTAACAACAAGCATTCACTTGTCATTAATTGTTTTTTGTTTTCCTGGGCCTCAATGGAAGAATGGGCATAATCTCTAAGACCACTTAGTGCCAATTTTTCACTATATACATCCAAAAGTTACAAGTGGGTAACAGTTATGCAGAGGTAATTACAGATAAACAAAACTAGCAAACAAGTCGACCCTGTAATCAATAGCAGTATTTAACTAACCAAAAGAATAGGCTCAAAGTTTCCTAGCAGTGGATACCAGCTTTTGCATGTTCCTGCTTAAGAACTCCTTTTTTGCATAAAATTAGCATTAAGATATTTTGTTTCACAACATGTGAATTTATTACTTTCCATCAAAATCCATTTTATCCTGCTAACAAGAAATTCAAAATGACAAATACTATATGTATTCGCTTATTGGAATTGATCAGGCAGAGAGTAATAACTAATAACGCTCAATTTATGTTTAAATTGACTGGACTACACTCTGGCATGATTCTGATGTAACTTATCCTCTCAATACTGATGATGCATAGTTAATTGGCTCAGCAAACCCCTTAACTAGAAGGATGATAATATTAGTCAACATGGCAAGGGCTTTCATTAACAACCATAATATAAACAACAAGCTACACTTTATTCCCAATGAATTTGGAGTTTGCTATGTGAAGCTGATGCGGAAGCATTTTGTGAAATTTTTGTAATAAGAATTATGCAGTAATTAAGAACAATATTGAAATAATCTTGCTTTGTATATATTAAATAATAACATATGTTAACCGAGACGTGTACAGTGCTGATGAGTGTATTTCACTCATTGAATTAGCACCTTCAAAGCATAGTTCTCGGTTTGTTCTTGAGAACTTTTGAGCATTTTGGTGTGTTTGTCAATGTTGTTTTGTAGTTTAAGTAACTTGGTGAAAATGACATATTTTGGGGCTTGGAATGAAGTTAACATCTTGATCATGGAAGTGGGCATGGAGTGGAGATGAGAGAAGAGGAAAATAAAGGGCAAACCTTGCTCTGATACTAATTTGGTATGGAAGCATTTTGTGAAATTCTTGTAATAAAAATTATGCAATAATTAATAATGATATTGGAACAATCTTGCTTTGAATATATTGAATAAGAATTGATGTAATCCAAAGAGTGTAAAATGCATTTGTATTTATAGGCAAAATTATTCCATAATCCTATTAATATAAAGAAATTAAAATAAGAAAACTAACATAAAATCCTAATCTAAAAGAAATTTCATGTTTTAATCAATAAAGAAAATAAATCATATTCTAAACAAGATATTAGAATAAAAAGATAAAGCCTATTAAAACTAGAAATCTTAAATATCCTATTATAAATAATTAATTTTTATCCTATTTATAATAAAATTGTCCTACATCAGTCACACTCAGGTTTAGTTTCCAGCATAGCTGATTTTTGAGCACCAAAATTATTAGGCACCGTCTTGGATGTGGATTTGGTATTAAACAGACCGCCATAATCTTCCTTCTTAAAACAATTAATCGTAGCATTTTCACTCCCATTGCTCAGTCTAACTGATGATGTTTTTAAAATGGACTTGAGTGATCCACTCACAGTAGGACCTTTATCTCCTGGATTGGTTCTATTTCTGTAACATCTTTGGCCACCTAATCACTGGAGATTGATCTGGAGAAGTACTAGCTGCTTTCCTCCCAACAACCAACTTATCGCTAGAGCTAATGTCATCCCTATACTTAAATTTATTGATGGTCACTTGCAGACAAAGAACAACTTCACCATAACCAAGCAAAGATATCCCCATGATGTTACAATTTATGTTGGGCCAAGGTCTGAGCTTGTCTCGAGTGACAAGCTTAGACTCTTCATAAAATATTTTCTGACCCTGTCACGCCACTCAATAGGAGTGTTAGTGCTTCATAACAAGGGGGAGAG